GATGCATTTAGTCTGACTTCACGGCATGACTGTCATGGGAGACCCTGCCAGCAGATATTCTGCCAGTAGCATAGCCCTCTGTTTCACTAGAGAACACAAGCCCCACCAGCACAACATGCTAGCATCCCATGGAGGATAACACCCCTGATATCACAGTTGTAGAAAAAATGAGGAATAGGATTTGGATCATTGACAATGTAATCCCAGAGGACAGCAGAATAGAAAAGAAAGAACAGGGGAAGGCCATGAAATACCAAGACCTACGAATAGAATTAGAGTGCCTTTAAGAGAAGGTGGTTACCATCGTGTCACTTGTCATGAGAGCCCTTCGAGCAGTGCCTGTGACAATTCATAATAATAACCATAACAGCCAACTTCTTGGCAGGCAGGTCAACATTCAGACCAACCCTGGGCCTTCTGTTATAAAGCTAAACTGTGGGATTCCAATCCTTCTCAAAGATGGTACTCCTTTGAGTTCACCTGCTTGTTAACAGATGTGAATGGTTGGTATATGCTCCCTCTAAGCTGTGGAGTCTTGTGAGCAAAAATTCTACTTTGTAACTAACCTCCTAGAACTCAGAATTCAGCTATGCGGTAGCAGGTTTGGACTAGGGTTGCCAACCCCCAGGTCCGAGCAGGGGTTCCCCCACTTTTTTGGGGGGGGCCATCCCACCCCAGTCAGCTGGCCAGTGAGGGAAGCCCTGCCCCCAAGAGCGACCACCGACCTGGCTACCCCTCTCCCTCCCCTCCTGCCAGATTTAAAGTACTTCAACTGATCAGTGGGGACCATGTGGCCTGTCAGTCAGCTGGAGGGAGAGGGGTGGTCTTTTTGCAAGCCGAACATGAGTCCTGCGGCCACCCCTCTCTCTCCTCCCTTCTGCTAGATTTAAAGGGCCCTCCAGCTGTTCACGTGGTTCCTGCTGTAGGACAAAGGATCCATGGATGAGATTGATGAATGTGATTTCTGATATTTCTTTTGACATGTAGAATGCCAGCTGTCACTGTGCCTTATTAGGAGTCTGATCAAAGTAAATTCAGATCTTAGCATTTAGCTCAAACAGAAGAGATTTAGAAAAGAATTATTTAGAGTATTATTTTTAATTGTTAAAGGTTATTTTTAGATAGATTCAGAAAATAATGGAATGGAATGTACATTTTGAAATTACAAGCTCCACAGTTGAAGGACATCCAAAAGTCAAGTTATGAGATGGAAAGACTCTGAATGTTCTCAAAACAACATATTTCTTTGTTGAGTAGAGCATCTGGCCCCAGGAAGTCAGCCAAGAGCGAAGTCTTATGCATTTTATCAGGAAACTCCCCATTTTTAGGCTGAAGCAAATGAGTTCATTGATGTTCTTCATTGTTCTGGGACCAGATAAGCTGACGCAATTACTGACATTTATGGATCAATGTAGGGGCATTTCAATAGAGAGGTGCCAGCTCAAATGATGCTCTGATGATGATACCTGTTGGACACCAATTAGTGATTTCTTTTTGTGTAAACTGTCATGATGTCATCTGGGGTATAAGATCTATTGCCCTTCCTGATTGGGGCAGAATACAGCTTGGTGTTACTGGTTGCCAAGGTATCCAGTCTTGTATTTTCCTGATTATTGCACTTTACAGATTTTTATCTGACCCACTAGGTTCCAAATGTGTGTTCCTCATTTGACCCCGGGGCACAGATTTGTGCATCATCACCGATCAGCTGAAGCCCTTTAAATCTGGCAGGAGGGGAAGGAGGGGAGTGGATGGGTGGGTGGTTGCTCTGGGGGGTGGGGCTTGGGGTGTCCCCACCCACCCCTGGAATGCCCCCCAAATCCCCCTGCTGGAGCGAGGAGGAGACCTGGTAATCCTAGTTTGGGCCCATAAGAACATCAGGCCTTCTGTGTCAAGCAAGAGTCCTTCTAGTACACTGTCCTGTTGATAACAATGATCAGTCATGTGCTTCTGGGAAGCCCACAAATACAGCTTGAAGGCAACAGCTTCCCTTATGGTATATTAGGTTGTTTGTGTCTTACCTGCTCAGTTTTCTCAAGAGATTGTTGCCTGATACACAAACTAGTTCATAACAAATACATGATGTATTTTTACTTAATTCTCAGGTCATCAGTCAGGTAACATAAGTGATTAGCCACACACAAAAAAGCTCCCACACCACTTTCTGAAAGGTTCCTGGGTATCAGCATTGACCTCTTTCAGTGTTATGTTTGTTCGACTGCCAGATTTGAAGGTGAGTTTGGGTGATAAGCTACGCATACCTTTTTAGCCATCTGGCTGCTGTCTGAGCTGACTATCAAGTCGTGTTTGTTGGAAGCCATCTGGATATAGTTGTTGCAGATAGCTAACCTCTAATTTTTTGCTTCCTTCTGATTCTTCTCCTCTTGCTAAAGTTTTGTTATACCACTGGTATTTACTAACTGGGAGAGCCCTGATGTGGTGGAAGAAATGTTTTTTTAATGAACCTCGTGAAAAGTTTCTCCTCCACCCTCCTCACAAACAAATGGATGCTTAACTACCAATAGTTAAAACATATGCTGAATATTGAAAGCATTGATTGCTTATCAGGGAATCAGAAGCTGTAGAAAAGTGGGGGCATCTGCTTGTGAAAACAAATCCAACCTTATATACCTATAAATTGATGCTGTGCGGTGAAGAGTGAGGAAGCACAGGGGTAATTGAAATCAGTGTTCTTAGGAAGGTAACAGAAGGTTGGCAGTGGCTCCAGACCAGCCATGCTGCAGTTGGCTGGAACGTGCTGTAAACTAGTTTCTTCCTGGAGAAAGAAGAATTGTGAAGGGAGATTGTACACCAGATTTGACTAGCTTTCGAGCAAGGGAAACCTTTACCTTTACATACTGATCTATGACCCACATTTTGCTGATTGCTGGTGGTGATGTTTGTTGGCATACCTCCTGTGGGCTGGGGTTTCTTGCGTTCTTCAAAGGTTGAGAGTTACCAGTAGTTAACTTGGTACAGCTGTCAGCATGTTATTTACTTAGAGATAAGCTGATTTGCATCTAGGTAAGTGTAGGCCTACATCTGAGATAATTCCCTGAATGTAAGTGAGAATATGTCTTACTTCCGCTGTACATTTCCCTCCGGAATACTAACAAAGAAGTGGCAGCTACCATGGGGTGAAACTAATTTACTGTACAGTAATTGTTGGGGGGAAAGTCTGTGCTAATGTAATAATTAAGCCTAGGTTTTACTTCTTTAGACTGATAAAAAGCAGAATACAGTTCTGAAGGTTTGAGCAAAAATATGCATAAATATTATTTTAACAGATCTAATTTGTGCAGTGCTATATGTTCAAATGAATGCCCAAAGTTTTGGATTTTCATAATATTTTAATGAATTGAAGAAGACAAATTATGTATGCCAGATACATTGGTTTTATTTGATAACTAGGAATAAGGCTCATTGTGGGGGGAAATACAATGAGCTCTAGAAAGAGGGTGGGGTCAATGATTTTGTATCTTGCAGGCAGAGAAGAGTAGTGTTTTGCAGTGTAAAGAACTAATGTGGGACTGAAGAACAGCATAACCTATAGTAGCAGAGAGTAATTATTTTTCGTGGTCTTATGATGTAAGGTTGCAGCGCCCATAATCACAGTGTTGGTTAATGGATTTTGGGATGTGTAGGGCTAGAAAAGCCATGACAGGGTGCAGCATTCAGTAAGTTCTGCATCTGTGCATTTTGCAAAGTCATCTGGTGTCTCTTTTGCATGTCTGAGCAAGTGGTCGTTGTGTGTGCCCTGTGAGAGAACAGGTGTCGAGGGAAGTGGGGGGGGGCAAGGTCAGAGGTAGTCGTAGAGGTCAAGACAGAAGTGACATGAAGGTAGAAGAGGAATGTGGCCATATGAGTACTTGTGCTAAAAACAGTGGGAGTTGTTAATTGGCATCCAACAGAAGGCGTGGTGGCAGTGTATTGTTGGTGTTTGTTGTGGGCCAGGAGGTAGAGGCAGTAAAGGTATGCCTAAGCAGTGGGTAGTGGCTGGATAGTGTATATGCATTCAGAACATACTGGCCGCAATTAGAAGGATAGTTGTCATTGTGCACAAAGTAGCATGTTTTGATGAAGAGTTGTTACACAGAAGAGCATTAGTCCCTGTAGGCAGATCTACAGAGAAACAGTGAAATCACATTAGAAAATATCATGATGACTGAAGAACCTATTTGTAGACAACATTTCTGGTAAAGACTTTGTCAGAATGGGGTAGTAGTCTTCCTTGCTGGGGTTCATCAATGACATGAACTCTTGAGATCCTAGAAGTGACGTACCCATGAGAAAGCCACATAAAGTTGTCCATGTGCGAAAACAGCTGCAAGTTTTCGTCTCTGGCCTGAAAGTTACTTGTCTGAGCAAGTGGTCGTTGTGTGTGCCCTGTGAGAGAACAGGTGTCGAGGGAAGTGGGGGGGCAAGGTCAGAGGTAGTCGTAGAGGTCAGGACAGAAGTGACATGGAGGTAGAAGAGGAATGTGGCCATATGAGTACTTGTGCTAAAAACAGTGGGAGTTGTTAATTGGCATCCAACAGAAGGCGTGGTGGCAGTGTGTTGTTGGTGTTTGTTGTGGGCCAGGAGGTAGAGGCAGTAAAGGTATGCCTAAGCAGTGGGTAGTGGCTGGCTAGGGTATATGCATTCAGAACATCGTGGCCGCAATTAGAAGGATAGTTGTCATTGTGCACAAAGTAGCATGTTTTGATGAAGAGTTGTTACAAGAAGAGCATTAGTCCCTGTAGGCAGATCTACAGAGAAACAGTGAAATCACATTAGAAAATATCATAATGACTGAAGAACCTATTTGTAGACAACATTTCTGGTAAAGACTTTGTCAGAATGGGGTAGTAGTCTTCCTTGCTGGGGTTCATCAATGACATGAACTCTTGAGATCCTAGAAGTGACGTACCCATGAGAAAGCCACATAAAGTTGTCCATGTGCGAAAACAGCTGCAAGTTTTCGTCTCTGGCCTGAAAGTTACTTGTGATGGGAAACCATCATGGTGGTCTCAGGCAGTGATACAATGGTGCTTTTCTTCTCTAAGGAAAGGGCTGTGGAGATTAGGAAGGTCAACAGTGTTGCAACTTGTATAAGTGCAGTGGAAGGTGCGTGACCCACCAAAGATGTGGAAACTCTGTCAGTTTTAAGCCAAAATTGTTGGCTGAGTGTAGGAATAATTGGTAGATCACGGCTCTGTTCAATATATAATGTGTCAGGTGGTGGACACAGCGCAAGTGGTGGTTCACAGGAGCCCAATATGGGCCCATGGGTATGTTTTTTAGGACGGTGGGGTAGTGCAAGAGATGGGTGAAGTGAATAAGAGCATCAGTTTTAAATGAGACAACAGAAAGAGCTGGAGGGCAAGTGCACTGGCTTGCGGAAGGGGGCTTGGGTGGATAGCAGAAGATTGAAGGAGTGGAAAGAGGAGGGAGTAGAATCTCAGATTATTGTAAAAGAACTAAATTATATCTGATTGATTTAGGAGGAGGAGGAACGAAAGAACTTATTTCCCTCACAGGAACTACTATCCCCCCTTCTGTCATAGAATCATTGAATAATACCAACCACTCCTGGTCACATTTGATAGTGTACCTGTCTGAGGTCCCACCCCTCCTCAAACCCACCCTCTCCAGGCTCCACACCTGAAATCTCAGGAATTTCCGTACCTAAAGTTGGCAACTTTATCTCCTCCCCTCTCAGCAGCCTCATCCTAGGCAAAGTTCTGTCTTTCTCATTAGTGTGGGCAAAGCAGCTTACTTCATTTTCCTTTTCTGCTTTGTGATCCGTACAGCAACCCTGCAAGGTAGGTTAGGCAGAAAACCAGTGGCTGATCCGAAATCACCCAGGCATCTTCCATAGGGAGGCTCCTGCTG